ATCTTCTCCAACATGACTGAGCCATCCTGGGCACGTTTTTTATATCTTCTCCAACATGACTGAGCCATCTGGGGCACGTTTTTTATATCTTCTCCATAACTGTGGTAAAGATGACAGTGGAAGGTAAAAGGACAAGACCAAAGAAGAGGTGGATTGATAGATGTAGTAAGGGAGACGATAAGAAAATGCAGTCTGAATGTAGCTCTGACAAGGATTAGGAAGGAGTGGATGACAAGGACCAGAGAAGTAGAACTTACCCATAAACAGAAGTTTTTACAATTAATAATGTAATATACTCAGTTATGGGCATTGCAGAACACTGATAAAAAGGCATACACTTGGACCCTGGTAACATAGAAATGGTCAACAATTTCACGCCTTTCTTGTGGCTCTACTATTTACACGTCACCGTATGAATGTCAATTCTCCGCCTTGTTGCAGTCCATAGTTGGAGCATTTTCTGCTCTCTCACAGATAATGTTGTTTCACAAACCTTTTCATAATGCTTGACACAAGCTCCGAGAACTCATCATTCAGTCACCCCCAGTTTCCATAACAGGTAGGGTGGTCCCAAGTCATCTGGGATAATATACACCATTTGTTGAACTGGTTCTAAAACTGCAAGTAACAGGGCACTTGCAACTAGTCCCAATTGTAAAAAACCTTCAGCATTTAAGAAGACTAGCTAATATACTTTCAGACACTCTAATAAGTCTTAACAGAAATAAACTATAGAAAACTGAAGGGAAACATCTTGCAGGTACACAAATATGATGTGCTAGAGCTCTCACAACTCATAAAGTGTATGAAACAGTTAAAATGTAGAAAATACTTTTCATATCATAATTCAACACCTCCTACCATTTTGTGATATTTTGCAGAGTTAGTTTGAAGTATTGTTAGTTTAGCCAACTTTCTACCCAGTGTTCAGATATATAGTTTCAAGTTTGTAATCAAGGTATTCAAGTGGTTTTCACAATAATTTCACACTCTAAATTGTTTCAAATTCAAACTGCTTTGAACTTGAAAAATTTTTTTATGCACTCCCTACTCGGCACATAGGTTTACCCTTTCGGCACCTTAGTTTGAAGTGGCCACATTCATCCTTTACTTGAGCCTACACCAAATCACCAGTCCTTTAACATATGATATCTTCGCGTTCCACCTTTTGACTTCATGCTTGTAGCTCTGGAATACAAGCTTAAAACTCATTTAATGTTCTCACAAAGATAACACACATTGGAGTGTAATAATTACACATAACATGAAACTTGGTGTTATAATAAGGATTGCCTGAATAAGTACATGAATTATAGTATCATTTGTTGTTGAGGAATGTTCAAAGATATAGGGATTTATAGGGTAAATAAGCTCTTTTAGGGTAAAATTTAGGGATAGAGGGAGGGTTTAAAAAATACAAGAACTACATGGAAATATTGGTGGGAGGACAGATAATAAAAACACATATAAAAACTTGAGCTTGATGGTTAAAAATTCAGTTTTAAAATGACAAATAAATGTATATTACTTCACCTAAAATGTATCATGTTGACATATTGAATCCAATATCCTGGTTCACAAAGCTAAAAGGTTTAACATACTGTTTGGTTAAACACAACTGTAGAGACAAAATAATATTTTACTATGTACACTATGTATATATAAGTTATACATTCAAACAGAACAAGAGACCTAATTCAATTATCATCACCATCGTATCTGATCTTTATACTGATCGTGCACACTCCATCGTTTTAGTGTTTCGTAGCCTAACACAACGAGGAATGAGAAGATGCTGCTCTGTACCAAGCGAGCCGAGAGTCCCTTGGTGAATATTCCGAGTCCTTCCTCTTTCCACAATAAACTGGAAGTTCCTAGGAAAGAGTCCATCCGCTGAACCTAATAAACAACAAATGTTATTATTTACATAACCACAAAGAATACAACCTACTTATGAACATAAAACTAGAGAACATTTGACATAACAAATGTTGACTGCCAAGAAAATCACTTCGTTGAAATGTTGACCACTTTCCTTCTCTTTACATAAACTTTAATCATCTTTGCATTTTCTGAATAAAAACAAATTCAAAAGTTTAGTACAGAAGTCTAACAAAACATAACGTAGACTTAACTCTTATTGAAACTATTTCAAGACCAGCTAATCCACTGTGGTATTGCCATGTTTCATCCAAGTGGACTAAAGAATTATTGATGTTACTCTTTTCTTTAAAGAGGGGTGGTGGTGGTAAGAGATGCCCTGGAAATCAGTTAGTCTTACTTTTCGGAGTGGAAAAGTTCTGAAGAAAATCAAGATGGATCCAGTACAGGGAAATGTTCCTTTACTAATCTGTTCACTTCTTTTAAGGATGCTACATGTTATTTAGATAATGTTACTTAGATAGTTATGTTTTGCTGACAAGTTCAGACATGATTAGGGCTGATATTAACATAGTTATGTTTGCTGACAAGTTCAGACATGATTAGGGCTGATATCAACATAGCTATGTTTTGCTGACAAGTTCAGACATGATTAGGGCTGATATTAACATAGTTGTTTGCTGACAAGTTCAGACATGATTAGGGCTGATATTAACATAGTTATGTTTGCTGACAAGTTCAGACATGATTAGGGCTGATATTAACATAGTTATGTTTGCTGACAAGTTCAGACATGATTAAGGCTGATATTAACATAACTGTAAGGCATGCACACTTAGAGAAGCATCTTTATTCTCTCAAGTTCAGACGTGTATTCTCTTCTGGATGTATTCATTATTGCATCTCACCGTAAGGCATGCACACTTAGAGAAGCATCATTATCCTCTCAAGTTCAGACATGTATAAAATCTAAGTGTGTCACAAACATGCAGTCCTATGTTATGTAAGCAAAGACCTGTTTAGCACAGTTACAATCAGCTCAGAAACACTAACTACGAGTTCAAAAGTTCGGAGAATTTAAATTTTGTTTACCTGTATTCTAGCCCTTATAATATCCATAGGGTTGGTAATAATACAGACACTGATCCCACTCATTGGTCCCGCTACACAGTGAATCAGCAAATGAGATGTGGACATAGGTAAGAGAGATGCCAACCATTCTGGATGAAAGAAATTATACACAGTATTTACTATCACATAACTAAATTACATACCGTATATACTTGTCAGTCATTTGAATAAAACAAAATCAAGTGAGTATCTTATTTAAACTATACTTGTAGACAGTGTGAAAAAAGTTTATTCATAAAAATAGCTGAAATAAAAATTAATTACTCATCAAGTGCTAACTTTAAAATATTATAACAAAAAAATCTCTAACCTGAGTATAAAGGATAAAACATCCACCAGAGAGCACTACCAGGAACGTAAGTATATACAGACGCAAAATATCCACGGTAAAAACCTTTCAGTCCATCTTGTTTGTACAGTTCTTTTACAACGGAAGCTGCCACGGAACCTCGATGTTTATGGTTTAAGTCAACGTTGAGTATGTTTGAAGATTCTGTAAGTTTGATAACACTGCCATTTCTCTGACCTATCATCATCATATGTTGAGATATGACATCAAAAGGAGTGATGATCGTCTGTCCAACTAAGGAGCCACATCCTCCACCAATAAGCCCTTTCACTCGTTTATCTTCAATGTTAGCATATTCTGTCAGAATGTGACGCACTTTTTCGTATGTTGTAATGTAGCCCACTCCAGATACCAGTTGGATTGTATTGATCCAGAATCCTTTATAAAGCCCATGGATACCTTCATAGTAGAGTATTTTTCTAAATGCATCGTACGTTCCTCTATAAATAGCACTCTGTTTTTGAATCTGGAGACGGGTTTTGATAACAGTGAATGGGTACAGAGTAGCTCGAAGGAAAAAGGAATTGAGAAGATTAAGAGAGAAGAACCTACTTTTGTTCATCATGTCCCATTCAATGGTCAAAATACGAGAGGATTCCATGGATTCCAAAGTGTATTGTTTAAGAGCCATATTACACAGCAAAAATCTTTTTAACTAAACTCTTTTGAAGGTTAATGTGTTTGACATCATTTACAACATATCAGTACTTAATACAACTGTGATAGCAAGTATTTATACCGACACCTGTTGGAGAGAAACAACACCTGGTATCACTGATCCGAAAACAAAGAATGAATTAGTTTGAAAAACTGTTTTTAAAAGATTTGCACAAACGTACAATAAACCACAAATACTGTTCTCCATAAACAGGTTCATGCTAGAGTCAGGACCTAATATTATAGTAAAAGTCACATTCTTCCAAAACTCTAGTAAAGAGTAAAGTTAAGAATAAATTACTTATAAATATTATAAATAAAACACCTGCTACCCTAATTCAAGCTGGGTAGCTAAAAATAAATAAATTATATATGAAAAAGTACAGTTAAAGACGGTCACTTGATACTCTGAGACTAATAGAAGTTATCTGCCTCTAAACTTTAGCTTGTACATACATTTTCAACTTTGAAATGATATTCATGAGCCTTTGTATAGTATCATGTTTGCTTAACATTGATTTCAAATTAAAAACATTTTGAACAGTAGATCAGATTTACAACTAATATTACAGCTTGTCCCTTGGATCAGACAATTATTGTTCCTGTGTTCCCTAAGTGAGGTATATTTATTTATTGTTACTTTCATTAACAGTATTGATTAGACTGTTTAATAATAATATATCACATTATTTTTTTATTTTGGTTTATTATTATAAAGATTGGTAGTTTAATATACACATGTAGAACTAATCAGTCTCTCAAGATGGCCAAACTTTGTGGGATTTTATTGGAATTATGGCAAAAAACATCGTTAAAGTAAGGGTGTTCAACTGATGAAACAATGCATTTTAATCTTTATTGGCAGAAACGAATATTTAATTAGCTATACAGATTGGCAGGTTGATTTTTAGTTTTGATCTAACAGTCAAGTACAAAGCTTACTCTAATAGTAATAGGAAAATAATTAGTAATATACAACATCAATTTACTTTTGAACCAATAAGTAGGTTTTTGGCTAGGAAGAATGAAAAAAAATATAGACAACATTAAAAATAAAAATGTTTTTTAAAGTCATTATCACAAAGTAATCCTAGTAATTAATACTGACAATAGTACTCAGTAGTAGTATCTTAAACTAATACCACTGCTGCGGTAACCAAACAGTACCAGTTTTTTGCTAGCCACAACACATAACTAGTTAGCAATACTAGTACTAATAAGTTATAAACTAATAGTAATAAAAGTATTTTCTAACGCAGCGTTAAAACATGTTTTGTAAATAATCGTGAAATAATTTGACTAACCTGTGCATAAATTACTCTTTTTGTAGACAACATTTCCACTCACCGGATACCATACTTCACGTTACTCAACTTACTGTACAACTATAAAATACTGAATGATGAAAAAGTTACGTAACTCAAAAGTCAAACCGAGTCGAACTTTGAAGTTGCACGTCGGTAGCTGTACTTTACCAATCACGTTTTCAGAATTAAGTCTTAAGTTTTCGCTCCCACTATTCATTAGTATTAAAATACCTTTACGTTTTTCGAAATGTTAATGTAATGCTTTCAGTTTCACTGACTGCTTAGTGTCTTGAAAGAAAAATAAACCGGCTTAAGATACCGTACTTAACACCTTTACACGCTACGTCAATCTTTCTGTTTAATAAAATGGCGGTATAACCTGCCCTCTACCGGAAAGTTCATATTTCGAAAGAATAGCGTGACTATCAGCTGTTACCAAAATCCAGTACCAACCAGTAGATCAAGTACAGTATATTATAACACTAACAGCAATAAAACAAAGTTCAGTTGGCAATGAGCTCTCTTTTATTTTATTTTTACTTTTTTAATTTCTCAGGAAGAATTTCTGTATTTTTTTCTTACATGAATATGAAAGTTTTATTTGGAAAAAGCTATATGAAATTTTGAAACAGCTGTTTGAGAGATAATAGTTTTATTTCTGTTCAATGTTTCGTTCATAATAGTGAGACATGATCACATACAAAATTTAAGGAAGAAGTCAAACTATGCTTTTCATATTGATTTTAATGTACTTGTGTAAAATAAAACTGTAACAGCTGCGATTTTTACAAACTTTGTAAATATTTAATGTAGATGCCTTATATCTTTGGTTATTAAATCTTGCTTTTTCTTCGGTTTTTACTAACGAAGATTTAAGCAATATTTCACATCTTGAACATTTGATAAAAGGAAACGAGATCAAACAAGATGACTGTATTAATTCTGAGCTGGTTAAAAAAATTTGGAAGTTTAAAAAACGATAAGGCTCCTGAGCCAGATAATATTTCCCCAAGGGTTTTGAAGAAGGTTAAAGATTGGAGTTGTGAGCCACTTACTACTATTATTTGTCAGTTCATGAATAGTGGGCAGGTACCAGAGGATTGGAAGTTAGCTAATGTAGCTTTTCTTTCAAGGGAGGTGATAAAAATTGTCCCAGTAATTATAGACCCATTAATCTTATATCAGTTGTGGGAAAAGTTTTGGAAGGTCTGTTAAAAGATGCTTTGCAAAGTCATTTAACAAAGTTTAGAATTCTGTTGGATAGTCAACATGGTTTCACTAAGGGAAAATCTTTTGACATTCTTTAAATAGCTTAATGCTTAAGTAGATGTGGGTAAGGGTGTAGATTTGGTGTATCTGGACTTTCAGAAAGCATTTGACAAGGTGCCACATAAAAGGGTTGTAAAAATTATCTTTGTAGGTGTGAAGGATAAATTAGCAAATTGGATAGGAGAGTGGCTGGATGGAAGAAAGCAGAGGGTTTTTACAAATGAAGTTCAGTCAAACTGGATTAATGTCACAAGTGGGGTACCTCAGGACTCAGTCTTAGGACCTCTGCTCTTTTTTGATTTACTTCAATGACATAGATGAAGGAATGGACAATAAATTACATAAATTTGCAGATGACATTAAGGTTTTGGGTGTTGCTGGCTGTGGAGAGGATGCTGCTTATTTACAAAAAGTTAGATCATTTAATGAGTTGGGCAAATAAATGGCAGTTGAGTTTTAATTATAATAAATGCAAGAAGATGCATGTGGATTATCATAATTTGAATTATAAGTATGATTTGGATGGGAATAACCTTAACAGTGTAATGATGGAAAGGGATCTTGGTGTAATAGGTGATCAGTCTCTAAAGCCATCCAAGCAGTGTGCTGTTAGTGGTAGGACAAATAGGATTTTAGGTTGTATCTACAGTAATATTGAATAAAAGTCTAAAGAGGTTATAATTTCATTGTACAGGTCACTGGTTAGGCCACATTTGAAATTTTCTGTTCAGTCTTGGGCTCCTTACCTTAGGAAAGACATTAAACTGTTGGAAAGGGTTCAGAGAAGGGTTACTAGAATGGTGCCTGGGATGGAGGGGTTGTCATACGAGGAGAGGCTGAAATCCCTCAAACTGTATTCTCTTGAAAACTAAGAGTTAAGGGGGTGGGATTAAGATGTTTAAGATTGTAAAGGGAACTGATAGTGTGGATGTATCATCTTTTTCATATTTAACAGTGAGAATAGTA